AAAAAGAATTTTTCATGATCAAAATGCATCAAAAACGTAACTTTTGTATCACATAGTGCGTAGAAATTAAGTGTCCGGAGCGTAGCGACGGACAATTACTTATAATCAATATATACGATATAAGCGATATAACCACCATAAGCGCGATTATAGAATTAATTTTGAAAATGATCGAATTACGGCACGTACCATATTTTTTACCGTAATTGCAATACGGAACCAAAATTAAGCATATCGACCAGAAGCCTGGATCAGAATTCATCGGAAACAGGTCGTACCGAAGCGTTCCGGTGTATACTGACCCAGGATATTCTGAATTTTGGCTCCGCCATGCTATGCCGTAATTGATTCTACCATAAGGTAATTTTGAAAATTTTACTGTAGAATCTAATAAACTTCGCACCCTTACTGGAAGCTGGTTCATGGTTAGAGCAACCTTGGATTTGAGAGAGAAAAATGTCATCAGATTCGCATTGCAATGCTTATTGGACCCGAGTGGTAATGAATCAAAATGAGGAAAACGTTAGCGATTGCACTCTGTAAGAATTCCACGTTAATTACTTTGAGTCTTAAAAGTAAAATTGAACAAAAAAAGAAAAAGCGTTAGCTGATGTCCTCTGCACTAGTGTTCTAATCGATTAGTTGCCAACTATCTATCATGTGACTAAATTTGTTGATTGGCCAATCAAACTAAAGAAATCGACGGAATATCTCGAAATTTAAATAGTTGATTGGTTTTTCAACTAACGATTTGTTACTACTCTGTACATCAAATTGTTGGTGATAAGTGGATTGAGCCAGGAGGAAAAGCATTAACGAAGGCACTCTGCAAGAACATTATATTAATTTTAAATCTTGAAAATAGTTGGATTGTACCAGAAGGAGATAAAGTGTTAGCGAGGCACTTTACAAGAATGTCGTTCTGACTACTTACACTAATCGGGTCGGTTCTGAAGCAAGAAACGATTAATAGCTGTACTTTGCAAGAATTCCACGTTGATTTCTTTGAGTCTTTAAAGAAACAAGATTAAATCAAAAAGGGGTGAAGCTTTATCTGATGTGCTCTGCAAGAACACTACATTGTATCAGATCTTGCTTATGATGACCAGGTAAAGGAAAAGAGTAGAGGAAACAATGTCATTTCTTTGGATTTTCGTTAGAATAAACTTGGATCAGAAAGGAGAAAAGGATTGGTTCTGAAGCAGAAAAGCATTAGCAGCTGCACTCTACAAGAATTCCATGTTGATTCTTTGAGTCTTGAAAGGAACCACAAAGGGAAAGAGCATTAACCGACGCATACTGTAAGAACATTACACTGTCTTTATTAGATTTTAGTTAGCAAAAGCGTAACGGAGATATTCTTGAGGAAACCACACAATTCTTTGGAACTTCGTTGGAATAAGCCTAGATCATATGGAGGAAAAGCATTATTGCATGCTTCTTACAAGAACACTACGCTGAACAGACAATTGCTGATACACTTTGCATAAACTTCGCACTAATTTCTTTAGGTACTTACGTACTACATGAATTACCAGTGACAAAATTGTGAGGTAACATAACCATGGTTTCTATTCTTATAGGCAAAAGATATTATTCAAATTGATGATAATTTTAATCACCTAAACTTCATTAATTATCAAAAATTGGCAGATACGAACGATCCATATGGAACGTACTGGCTTTGTTAATGTTACGAACATGGAATTCACGTTGAAACGGATGAAAACAAAGAAATCATTTATTATCAAAACCAATGAATGTTATTATTTAGGAATTGGCGCTGAAATGCTGAAATAGATAGATAAATACAAAGTATTTCATATATTATCAAAAGTCTATCTGGGCAAGTAATTCGATGGGAATTTTCAAAAACTATAATTTGTTACTGTTATGAAATTGGCGTGAAAAAGAATTATGACAAATTATGGATAGCGTGAAAATAAGTTAATTTTGATTATCATTTATATTTTTTTATTTATAAAAATTTCGGCAGATATTGTCATAAATGACGGTTACATCTTTTTTTACTATGTTAGGGTGTAAACGTTCTGAAGTGTCGTTTAAGAATTTCATAAAAGGTGTCATTTTAGTTAGTAATATTAAAACGATGAATTTTTAAAAATTATCTAATTTGATTGGTCAATTATCACGGGTAAATTGTCCAATTAAAAGAAACTTTCATCATGTTTTAAACTTTACGTGTTTATTTTGTTGTTAACCAACGCATTTTATTTTTTAAAAGTTAAAATGAAACTGTCAAAATGGTTAAAGAAAAACCTTAAGGGAAACGTTAAGGATACATTAGAAGCAACTATCGAAGGCTTGCTTGAATTAAACCCACCGATAAATAGAAACTTATCAGTAAGCAAGCAAAAAAAAGCGGTAAAACGGTCATTACAAGATTTAAAGGATGAAAAGATTCTGGGAGAATGCGCACCATTAAGCGCGTGGCTTAATACTTCAGGAAAAAAAAATAAAACCTCCCAAACTACAAAGGTCGTTGATGAAAATGATCATGCAGTCTTTAGAAAGAACAGATTCTTCTCAAGTTCATTTAATATCTCTTATGGATTCGCACCCGAATCAGTGAATGTCCAAAGTGTAAATAAAACCGATAATATACAAAGCAAAAAAACAGAAGATATACTTCGAGACGTGAATAATAATGTATCCCAAAGAAATAGTGCAACAGAAGATATTCAAGAAACAAAAAGGAACGTCAAGCAATCTAAACGATCACCATCGCCACCGCTCCCGCAAAGGTTTTCTTTTTCAGCCTCTGAACAAGGCTCTTATGTAGAGCCCATTCTCCAGCTCGTTGAAAGGGCATTATTTAAGTTTATTACAAGACATGAAACAAATATTCCCCTTAAAGTTGTAAAAGGATTTGTTGCAAAGTGCAATCCCCCTCGTCAATCGGATTTCTCCGATGCTGACCTCCTTTGTCTCTTGAATTTTACTATACATCACGTTTCATTGTTTACAAATCAATCAGACAAAACATTGTTTTGTGGTAAACACAAACTAAATCCCTCAACTTTATTGACATCATTCAAAGTAGAAGCGCGAAATTATAATGCGCATGCGATAACTCAAACTAATGGCCGATGGGACGATGAGAGGCTACAAAGACTTTCAACACTTGCGTTGGAAGTTTCTATATGTTTAGGTAAGTTGAAAATAAATCTCAACGTAAACCGTCATAATGATTGTTTACAATAAAATTAACTAAATTAATTTTCTTTATATAATTAATAGGTGCTCGAGAAGAGTATGAAAATCTTTTAGAAATCAAAAAAAAACTTGACTTTGAAGTGATGGAACGGTGGGTCACGACAGTTCATGAAGATGATCCTAAAATGAAAAAAAGGAAAATAAGAGATATCGAGCTTGAAGAGCTGACGGATTTCGCTTTAGATGTGATAAATAAATTAGAATCTGATCAAGAACAACTAAATCGTATTGTACACATGGCGATTTCTAAAGATGAAACTCTTTTAAATATTTGGAGGTGTATTGAATCAAAAGAAAAAAAAGATAAAATTGAAAAATTTATTAAATTGATGAACATAGAATTTAATATGGTAAGTTTTCGATAACATTTCTCAGTAATCAAATGTGATTAATGGCTAACATTTACTTTATACCATGCACGAAGAATTTAAAACCCAAATGATGTAATGTCATACGACATTTTTGGCGATTTTATCTTTTGTTGCGCATGCACAGTTTAGCAGTCATGAAATTTCGTGTAACCATAGATTCACAATAAAGCTTTATATGTATCTTTCTTGCATTCATAATTAAGTAGAATCGACTTTCCTAACAATGACTTAAACCTACTTTATGTCATAAAAACAACACCAACTGGAATCCCCAAATCTACTTTGTATACCAGGAACAGAGGTGTGAACAGTGCTAGTCAGGTGTAACGTGAAAATAATCATGCGTTTTTTTAAAAAACCGCCCGTAACTCAAATATTCATCTACGTAGTCACTCTGCGCACTAGTAAAAAAAATTCCTTACTAAAATTTTAGTATAGGATAGGCTTGTTGTAACTGTAAGCCCGACCCTAATGTAATGTTTTATGGCTTTGATACATCAAATGGGGTAGGTCGTTGTGTGCAAATTTTATTTACATAAAATAATGTCATACCGTTTACGTTTACAGTATGATACCAACATACGTACGTGCCGTGTAGTCATGTGACGTACGCCAGAATAATCTACGAATCGATCCTTGTATCTTTTTTTTTAGCTAATATGAAATATAAAGCTACGCTGCTGTCTAAATTCAGTGCAAGATCACCGCAAAAGCCCATTGTGTTAAGACAAGTAAGTATAGAATGTTATGCCAAACCTTTTAATTCAATACCTTAATTTGTTTTAAGGAACCACATAGTTTATTAAACCTATTGAGATCTTATTTACAGGTTTATATAAAAGAGCATAGCACGACAGCTAGAGCAAGACATAATATGATCGTTAGAACAGTTGCATTATAGTTATAATGGAACATAGCATAATAGTACAAATAGGATGTAGCACTATAGTTAAAATGGGCATAATACAATGGTTAGAATAGGACACAGCACGATAGTTAGATTAGGATGTAGCACTATAGTCAGAACGGGACATAGCACTATAGTTAGAAAAGGACAGCACGATGTTTAGAACGGAATAACATGATAGTTATAATGGAACGTAGCACGATAGTTAGATCAGAATGTAGTGTGACTGTTAGAACGGAACATAGCATAATAGTTTGAACAGGATATGCCATCGTTGTTAGAACTGGATGTAGCAGAATAGTTAAAACGAAACTTAGCACAATAGTTAGATTCAGGACGTAGCGCGATAGTTAGATTCGGGACGTAGTATTATAGATTTGGAACTAGCGCGATAGTTAGATTCAGGACGTAGCATGATAATTAGATTTGAGGCATGATAATAGATTCAGGTGCAGTACAATAATAGTTAGATTCAGGACAGCATGATAGTTAATTTGTATTTCTTTATTATTTTTAGATCTATATTTTTTGTTTTTTTTTTAAATAAAATTTGGTGGATTTACAAATAAGGACCAAAAATAATTACAGATAGGGGCCTGATATTTAAAAATTATTACAAATAAAGGCCCAAAATAATTATGCGCTTAAAAACTTATAATTTAGCCCTGTTTCGATAATTTGAATATTATCGTAATATAATTATTGATTGTTAATGCATACGAAATATAATAATAATCAATTAGTAATTCGAACATAAATTCAAATAAACAATAAAACAAGTACTGTTATCTAGAGGAGTTAAGTCACTTGATCTTGAATACGTGATATAGGATGTTCAGGATTATGCAGTGACATTCACCGAATTGTAATTAGCGATTGCCATCAAACATGATGCTGTAATGTGATCATCAAAAATCTTTTAAGTTCTTTTTGTTAGGGTTAACATTTATACTAATGTTAAGATTGAGGGGTTTTGGTAAAATTATCCAAAGAATTTTTTTGTTGTTTTGGATCTTCGCGACGCAGTCGCACCAAAACCAGGAACAGAAAGATTAATAAATATATTAATTATAATATATATCAATAAAATAATAAAAAAGGAAAATTTAGTTATGATGATTGTAACTAATTTCATGAATTATTTTGTTGACAGTCATTTTATCAATAAAGTTTGAGTTGACAGGGTTGGGCTGATAAATTGTTAGCATTGGTTAGAGGTAGATTGTCAATGAATCTTACAAAAGTGTTAACTATTGAAATCAGGCGAAACGGTGAGTCAGTTGCTACATCATGGTCAGACATTCATTTGATTGGATGATGTAAATCAATTGCCCAGGTAACTTATTTATGCACTTTAGAGTACTTTTTGAGAACGTAACATTTCACAAAAAAAAAATCTCTATCAAAGACATTCTTAGCATTAAAAGAACGTCAATATTCATTGTACAAAAGAATCCAAAAAGAATCTGCCTTCTAATTTACTTTACTTAGAAGACAAAAATGCTATTAGTTAGTAGTATTATAGGGCCTCACATGATGACTATTTGTGAGAAAAAATCAAATCACTAAAATACAGTAACAGAAAATGTTATTACAAAAGGACAGGCTAACAAAATTTTACTTTTTTATCTCAAAATAGGTGATACAATTTGTTTGAATTGCTACAACAGAATCATAATGAAAAGTTCAATTAAATTTTATCAATATATTCTAACTGATGCAAGACAACTTGAAACTAAAAAACCTGAAATTGAAGAAGTTAATGAAACTAATTTTTTGTCTTTTTCTAATTCAATCAGAATGATGACAAAAATTTTATTCAAATATAAAAATAAAGAAAAAAGTCAACAATATATTCATTTAATAAATTTTAGATAATTATAAAAAAGAAAAATATAAGATTAAAATTGTTTTTTGATGAATTATATGTTTTATTTAATCCATAATCAAAAAATAAGAAACACAAATCTAGATAAAATAATAGCTTTTTTTGTATACTATTTTCTTTGCAAAATAAGAAATAAATTTATAAATAATATTAAAACAGATTTAATATTTTATTTGATTTAATTAATGTTTCTAATACTATTATTGATATACTTGTGGATTTAGATATAATCATTACATTTTACTCAATTACATAGTTTAAATTAATATAGTTAAAAAAACATGCCAAAATTGTTGATTCTGTATTTGCTAAGTATGTAGAAAAAATAATAATATTGACTATAAATAATAATTATAGTATTTATATTTCATGAATACTCAATACAATTATTATGTTTATACTAATATATTTGGTTATAATATTAATGAATCCAATTACTAATTAGGTAACTATTTTTCAAAAAACTATATATAATTTTTTATTAATTAATACTATTTTAATTAAAATAAATATAAAGAATTAATTTATGATATCTTATAGTCTTTTATATAATCAATATTGGGAGTTTTATACAGTTGATAATGATATAAGATTAGTAGATTTAATTGTACATAGCTATGATATCTAATTAAAAAAAATATTATATTTGTTTGATGAAAAATATTGTTTTTATAGATTTATAAGAGAATTATTTCTATATAATAAATAAATATATTGTTATAGAACGATTTATTATTATTTTATTAGTAGTTATTATTATTATTATTATATTATTATTATTATATTA